TGAATTAATGTCTAAATAATGTCTGTTGCCATAATATAGTAGTACATTAGAGCTTAAATATCATGATTTGGTGCAACATTTTTTTATGTGAAAAGTTGCCAAGCGAGCAGGCGGTTCACCTGATGTTAAGTGAATACCCGCCGCCCATGGGCGTCTGCTACACCCGAGGCTCGCAGATGAGTTGACAACCTTTTGAAAATTGGGCTCCGGCCACCTCACTCACCAGACGAAACGCGAAAGTATTATACTTTCACTTTACGCCGGTCTTCTGTGAGGTCGTGGTACTTGCCCGGACGAGCCTGCCCATTCATGCAGCACCAGAATGAAACCTCAGAATGTAAATGTCCAATGTGATGTTCGGAGAGGTGATGACCTGGGAACAGAAGTTCTCGAGTGGCGTCCACGAACAGGAAAACGTAGCGTTGGAAGGCCGCCCTCTACGTGGACCGGTATCGAGAGACTCGCGGGCAACTAGTGGATGAAAATGCCACGAGTCTTCGTGTAAACTCCCAGCTCGGCACAGTCTGCAACTACAGTCAGCAGCACTCGACCGCGTCCATGGACAGACAACCTTTTTATTTTTATTTATTTATTTAAAGAACGCCATCATAATGTACACTATTTAAGACTAAGTAAAATATATATATAATAACTGTTCGTTAGTGTCATTACAATTAAAGGCGCTGACAGCATGCAATATAATGGGCGAGACAAATACAGTTAAAGATATTTTTTTTTTGTTACAAAATCCAAATTTAAAACAAGAGTTAATAAATTAAAAACAAATAATTGATAAAAGAAATAACAGTAAAAACAATGATAAACAGTGAATAAGCAGTGCAATAGATTTATACATGGACTAATAATACTATTTAAGTGTCTACAAGTGTAGACACTTAAATAGTATACATTGTACACTTAAACAATATAGTGTAGTGGGGAGAACAGGAAATCTGTTTGACAACAAAACAGGCGAAAACAGTTAAAAAGAGCAAAAAATCTGATATCATCTGCAACACCTCACGTGTTGCAGATTCCATTTACAGAACCATTAGTTAAGAGGGACCGGATACCTCACTAAAAGAAAAAGAACTTATCGTGTGGTTTTTGTTAGAGTTTCCAATGTCTTCTGAGCCAAACGCTCCGCTCGGATAAACCTAGCGACCCTGTAGGAGATAGTGACGCTGAAACTTTAGATCGAGGCATAGGAATGTCTCTTAATTGAGTTGATGCCTTTGCTATCGACTGTTTACGTATGTTACCTAAACCTACCTAAATATGATAGCAATAGAATGTTTTTATAATAGACCTAATTGAATATTAATGTTATCGATTCCTGAATTAATTCACCTTTATCTAATGTTCTATATTACTTATACTGCAAACGGCTAAAACTAATTTGTTTGTTGCCATGTTTGTAATGGTTATATATGTATTAAATGTTGCAAATGTATTTTTTTTTGCACGAAACTGATTGCGCTGATTGTCTGCAACCCCACCTGATGGCAAGTGGCGATGCAGCCGTCGATGGTAGGCGTACTAGCTCAGCAAAAGCCTACTCACTCTTGCCACGAAGACGCCTACGTTTTAAGCATTTTTTTTAATGCGAAAAGTTGTCAAACGAGCAGACGGTTCACCTGACGTTAAGTCAATACCGCCGCCCATGGACATCTGCTACACCCGAGGGTTGCAGATGCGTTGACAACCCTTTGAAAATTGGGCTCCGGCCACCTCACTCACCAGACGAAACGCGAAAGTATTTGTCATACTTCCACTTTACGCTGGTCTTCTGTGAGGACGTGGTACTTACCCGGACGGTATACAGAAAGACGGATACAGAAAGACGGATTTCTTGGTAGAGAATCCTCCCTACCATTTTCAGCACTAATATATCCCTCTTCTAAAGCCAACATTATCACTCTACATCAGCATCATGCTAAACAGAGGCCTCCCTCATAGACTACCACGAATTATATATCACTAGTTGCTGCCCGCGACTACGTCTGCGTAGAATAGTCTGAAGGCGTAACATCCAGACAGAAAGACAGATATACATACAAATATAAATCATAGCCTATGTCTTATTCTGATGTATAAGCTATATTCTTGTAATGTATCATTAAAATCCATTCAGTAGTATTTGCGTGTAAGAGTAACGAACATCCATCCATATATACAATCTTTCGCCTTTATAACATTAGTACCGACTCTTATATTAGCCGGTAAGCTACTGGGTTCGGCGTCGGGGGTCGTGGGTTCGATTCCCACACGCGACAACTATTTGTGCGACCAACAGATGATTGTTCCGTGTGTTTGTTCGTAAAAATATGGCCAAAAACCCCTTAGAACATAACAAGATTCACGACATATTGTGCCGACCCCACTTAGGTGGGATAAGGGCAGGATGATGACTATTTCGAAACTACGAAGGTTTCAAACAACATTTTCCTTCACCTGAAATATTCGCTTCTCGTGATAAATCAGCCTAAAGCGGCGGCTGTTTCATAGGTGCCCACACCGCGATTTGAACTCGGGTTGCTCGATTATATCGAAGTACTACATTTTGCCTACGCTTCGCTCGTGTTGAAGTCCTTAAGTAAATATCTTTCTTTAAAAACTGTGTAATATATATATATATATATATATATATATATATATATATATATATATATATATATATATATATATATATATATATATATATATATATATTTAATGAAATTTTTTAAAGATTGTTTTTTCCAATTAAAAAATAGCTTATGTATTTTTCAGGCTCTAGACTATCTGCGTACCAAATTTCATTTAAATCGGTTCTTTAGTTTTGGTGTGAAAGACAGACAGACCGAGCTACTTTCGCATTCATAACATTAGTATGGATTATACATATATAAACTAGTTGACCCGGCAAGCGTTGTTTTGTCACATAAATTATTTGTGGGGTAGAAAACAAAATATTGTAAACCTAATTTCTAAAAAGTAATGGCGACATCTCTCGTTAGAATTATCGTTGTAAAACGGTATTAGAAATCGTTTGTATGCTGGAAAGGGTATAACAATGGATGCACCAAGCATTGCTTCAAATGCTAAGAAACGATGTAGATAAAAGACGTTAATATTTTCGTCGGTGTGGCAATCAGCCGTATAGCTTAATGGCCAAAGCGTCAGGCCGCGAGCGCCGAAGTCGTGGGTTCGATTGCCACAGCGGCAAACTTTACGTACTTATTCTACAAATTCTAACGAGAATTTTATATTTCATTAGATTATTTTCGTCCTGCCGTGCGAAGTCGGAAAACGAGACACAGTCTGTCGTTATCTGTACAAACGTTATGTAAACACTTGATAGGTAAAAGAGGGGAAGAATTCAATTCTGCATAATACTCTACGGTCCGTATATAAATTGAACCGACTCTCATCTTGGGGCATATTCAAGAGAGTTTCCTAATCGAGCACTCTTCCCGATATTCCAAAATGGCTGCAGTCAAGTTGCTACTCATCATGTTTTTGGTGGCGGTAAGTTTTTTCAATCAATCAATCAATCAAAAATCTTTATTCAAATAGACGCTTGCGCGTTCTTACGAATCGTCAAATTTTACATAAAACATTATACATAGAGGTTCGTAAAGTACCACCGTTTCGGAAAGCGGTTTCTGTTGAGAAGAGACCGGCGAGAAACTCGCCAGTTGCTCTTTTCCAAAGATATCAGTTTACAATATAAAATACAGGTATAATAGTCTTATTCTACCCTACGTGAGTATCAACTTTTTTTCTATGTGACAACACCCGTGGACATGGTGGTAGAGCCACGCAGCACCTTCCGCTGTTGTAGTAATGGACAGGCTCGTCCGGGTAAGTATCACGATCTCACAGAAGACCGGCGTAAAGTGGAAGTATAATGCTTTCGCGTTTCGTCTGGTGAGTGAGGTGGCCGGAGCCCAATTTCCAATAGGTTGCCAACGCATCTGGAACCTCTCGCAGATGTTGGGCGGCGGTATTCGCTTAACGTGAACTATTGCTGGGAGTGAGGTGGCCGGAGCCCAATTTCCAATAGGTTGCCAACGCATCTGGAACCCTCGGGTCTGGCAGATGTCCATGGGCGGCGGTATTCACTTAACATCAGGTGAACCGTTTGCTCGCTTGGCAACTTTTCACATAAAAAAAAATAAAGTGGGCCCCGGCTACCTCATTCACCAGACGAAACGCAGGAAAATTTCTTCTTTTCTTTTCTTTTTTCTTCGTCTTCTGTGAGGCCAAATTCGTGCAACAGCCCTACCACAGTAAAAAGTTTATTTTTTATCTGAAAAGGTGCCAAACGAGCAGACGGTTCACCTAATGGTAGATGAATACCGCCGCTAAGTTACTTGCATGTTGAACAATCGCTATTATTGAAAAGTCAAATTTGTTAATAAGTACTTTCATCGCATGGTTAATTAGCAGTTCCCTTGTGTTGTAGATTGTCGCACTATTGTATAAGCTACGTACCAATGATAGTGCAAGGTTTTGTAAATAAGTAAATGTTTTTAAGCTATTGCATTGCTTTTATCGCGGGCTTTGAGCGCGACTGAATCAAGAAATTCCGTAACGAAAATGAGGCGCCGATTTCGATGATACGTTTTTTTATTTGAAACCTGGTGCTTCCCACGTGGTCCATTTATTAATTTCATTGGTTTTGGTAGACTGTCACTCCTTTCATTACTCATAAATTCGCTGTTCACGGATAACGTTTCTCCTTTTTCAGATCGGCGTAGCGCTCACTTCAGGCTTGCCACCCGGTAAGTGAAAAATGTTTTTTTTTTGTGAGAAAGTGGCAAACGACCTGGCGGTCCACCTGATGCTAAGTGCTAACCGCCGCCCGTGGACATCTACAACACCCGTAGGGTTGCAAATGCGTTGCCACCTTTACATAAAGTTGGCCCCGGCTAGACGAAACGCAGAAGTGTAACACTTCTACTTTACGGGAGTGACTATGACCCCCTTAAGCGATGACGGTCCGAGGCCCATCACTTGACCCAACACCTGACCCTGGGGACCATTGTTCTTGCTCTCAGTTCGGGGTCGCAGTCGGGAATGCTGAGAGTTGCCAGCCGCTCTGCTTCCTTGTACTCTGCACCCTGGGCTGTCAGTGGGTTCTTTTCTGCCTGGGTGTACCACCTTTGCAATCAAGAACCAACTCCTATCTGCAGCCTGCAGACCTTCTGTGGGGTCGTGGTACTTACCCGGACGGACCTGCCCATTCGTGCAATAGCGAACACTAGAAGACGTTTACCTACATTTTTCTTGGGTGTGGTATGCACAGCAATCATGGGTTACGCTTTTTTATGTGAAAAGTTGCCAAACGAGCAGACGGTTCACCTGATGTTAAGTGAATACCGCCGCCCATGGACATCTGCTACACCCGAGGGTTCCAGATGTGTTGACTACCTTTTGGAAATTGGGCTCCGGCCACCTCACTCGCCAGACGAAACGCGAAAGTATTATACTTCCACTTTACGCAGGTCTTCTGTGAGTTCGTGGTACTTACCCGGACGAGCCTGCCCATTCGTGCAACAGCCGACGCTGCTGCGTGGCCCTACCGCCGTAATATAAACGCTTCTCGCGTTTCGGAGCAATAGACATCATTAACTTTCTTTGATTCTATTTTTTTTCCAATTCAATTTTCCATTTACTATGTCAATTGTTACAGGCGCGGGTCCATTGGGCAAGGTGAGATATTAATTAAATTGCCACACGATCAGGCTACCGGGCTAGCGGATGTGGTAGTGGTGATGTGGTGCCTAAGAACGGCAACAGCATCCAGAATAACTTCTTAATCAACTATTACTGCCCAACATCGAATGGAACGGTTGACGAATGAGACTCCTCGATATCATTATTTCTAATTATTATATTAATATATATAATATGTTATATCAATCTTTTGCTATGTAATATACATAACGTTAAACGCACGCATGAGCATATGCGCGGCTCTACACACAGCGGTTCTGGCTAGACCACCGGTTCTGGGTCAGACGAAGCTTTAATAGTCTCGGGACTGAAACCGTTAACATCAGTTAAAACAAAATACAATATACATAATTAAAATTCTTCCCATGGCATTATTAATTTCAAGTACTGTGTTATCACGTGCTCAACGGTGAAGGAATATCGTGAGGAAACTTGCATCTTTTCGAAATAATAACGAAAAAAATTGTCGAATGTAGTTATGTAAAGACCGCCAATCCGCGGTGGAGCCGCGTGGTGGACTTTGCCCTGATACCCTTTGTACAGGGGAGGCCTTTGCCCAGTAGTGGGACATACATAGGCGGTTACTTTACTTTTTTTTATACATAATTGAAGGCTGTACAAGCAAAAATTGTGAGACCTCTATGAACTCTCGCAACACCTCTAGTGTTTTGAGTTGCCATATTTTCTGCCGAAGAACAATGGCATGAATACTTGGCCTTCCGTGCGGCTGTGGCACTCTCTGATGGGTGGCAGTGCACTCTACATATTGCCTTTAATTCACGATAGTGTGGCAACAGTAAAGGAAGTGAAGCTCTACGGTGGCAGGGCCATGCAGCAGTCTCGGCTGTTGCTCGATTGGGCAGACTCGCCGGGTAAATACCACGATCTCACAGAAGACCGGCGTAAAGGAAGTATAATGCTTTCGCTTTTCATCTGGTGAGCGAGGAAGCCGGAGCCCAATTTCCAAAAAGGTTGTCAACGCATCTGCAAACCCTCGGATGTAGCAGATGTCCGTGGGCGGCGGTATTCACTTAACATCAGATGAACCATCTGCTTCGTTGGCAACATTAAAAAATTCTGTGAAGGGGCTACAAATTCGGATATTCATTTATTTATGGTAAGAAAGTAGGGTACAGTTAAAAGCAAAACGTGTGCGAAAGCGGTGGCGCAAGTGGTCACACAATAAACAACCGTTGCGTGTCAATTTTCTGGTTCACTAAATGATACGTTTTGCCTTCTGACAGTGGTTGTGCTATTTCTACGTCTGAATACATAGCAAGGCAACATAGCATACCTCGCCTATGTACGCCTTTATTCTCATATTGACTTCTAAGACACTTTGTTTTCTTTTCCCAGGTCAGCGAAGCGGCTTCCGGCCTCGGTGGTAAAAAAAAAATTATTTTTTCCAACATTTACAGTATTTACAACATTCTGAATTGGCTACATTTTTCGTATATAAGACAAAGTAAAAAATGCATGCCCCTGATGAAAATCATTCCCTACATCATGGCGCGAAGATTTTCTTTTGATTTGTTCCAGCATTGCCCACACGGCCATCAGACAAACGGAAACAAATTAAGAGATAAGGGAAGTGTGTGGAGAAAACCGACTCGGCGGGCGGCAAAGGGACCCGTTTCTTAGAGGCCTTGCGCGCTGCCGCCATCACCAGATTTTTATGCCCGTTAATGAGAGTTGTACTATGCAGGTCCAGATTTAGAGGTTCGGAGGTCTAGGGCCAACAAAGGAGCGGAGTCCCCTTGGCCCCAAATTATTTTCCAAATAAAATGAAAAATTTTTTTCAATCGAGTTTTTTAATAAATTCAATAAATTTATTAACTTATTTAAAATCTTAATAATTTTAAACCAAGAATAAATATGAAAGGAAAAGTTGTTTACTAGTCTGAATTTAAATCTTTTTTCCGAAGTATCTATTGTGGGGGGGCCCCACTTTTGTGAGGCCCCGGGTCTATAGCCCCGGTTGCCCTCCCCTAAATCCGGCCCTGGTACTATGAGTACAACCTTGCCACCTGTCACGTCTGAGAGGAAACAATAATTAGCATGTACCCACTTTGCTTTATCCATCGACGTTATTTCTATCGAGTCTATTTCTATGACTGTGTCTGTATCCATCCGCCGTGAAACATTTCAGCTTGTAATCTTAAGTGCAGAGATTAGCACTATAAAAAAAATTAATTTGTAAAAAAAGCAAATCATTCGAATTATCGTTGTAAAACGATATTAGAGATTGTTTGTATGCTGGAAAGGATAAACGCTAAAAAAAGACAATTTAGATAAAACACCTTAAGATTTTCGTTGGTGTGGCAATCAGCCGTAGTGGCTGAAGCGCCAGGCGAATGCCGAAGACGTGGGTTCGATTCCCACAGCGGCGATAATCTTTTCGTATTTTTTCTAAAAATTTTATTTGTAAAATAAACTTTGTTTTGCAGATAAGAGTAGCCTTTTGGAAAAGCTGAAGGTAAGATTTTGATATATATTTTTGATTTATTTCTATAATGCTGGCTTCCTCACATTTGAGATACAATAAATAATAGTGTTAGTTAAATGGTTTAACCTTTTTTATGTTCAATCAAAATTGTTTGTAAGTTTGTCATATATTACATATTCGTACTTCAATATTATGCCATTTGGTTCAAAGTCTGATATATACAGCGTGTCTTTACAATCGCGACCATAAATGAACACACATATAGAGGATAACTTTTTAAAATTGTATTAAACATTTACATTCTTTAAACATCAATATTTACAGAGTTATTAAATTTTCCAAAACAAAGAATTTTAGAACAGCCTTACGTATAAAACTGTAACGTAAAGTTCATTTGTAAAGGTCACAAAGCATATGAATGGGTTGAATGAATTTAAGAGACAAAACATGGTTTTAGAAGGAGAGGCTTGTAATGCGACGCTGTGGCAACGAATGAAAAAGTCTCTGAATGTATGAATCAGTCAGTTGTAGTTGTATATTTGTTTGTTTGAAAAATATTTTTTTTTAATTATGGATTTTGTTTAACATTTATTGCCGCGATGGTAACGACACGCTGTAGACACGGCTTTAAATGTTACAACACCTCTCTGTAACACCCTTTATACATTAGTCCGATTGTGACAAACTTTGGTGAGTCATTGCGTCATGCGCGCGAACATTATAGGTCCAAAAGAAAGGTTGTTTTCTTAATATAATTGCCGTCTACGCTAAAAACTTAAATTTTGGTTTCTTTTTAATGGAAAAAGGGGGGTAAACAGGCAGGAGGCTCACCTGATGGTAAGTGATCACCGCCGCCCATGGACATCCGCAACACCGGAGGGCTTGGAAATGCGTTGCCTGCCCTGTAGAATAGAGGCCGTCCATTAATCATGTAATATTTTTTTAGCATTTCTCCCATTGATACGTGGTGAGGTTTAGAACAACCCCCCATCCCCCACCCAAAACCACGTGAATTTTTAGTACCTATAAGGAATCTTAAATTTTTTATAATATTATCGTTAAATCCAGGCTTAGAGTGTATTCTAATTAATATTCTGAATAAAGGATCATTATAAAAATGTAACGGCGGGTCAGGGTCTACACTACGCCCTGATTTTGGGTTTAGAAATTGCGCGTTTGACGAAAAAATAAGTACACGTGATATCTTACTACACCCCCTCCTGTATCTCTGTGATATTTCGTGATTTTTGTCAAACCCTCTCACCTTACAAGTCTCACGTGATTAATGGACGGCCCCATAGAATATGCTCTCTTCTTGAAGGTTCGCAGGTCATAACGGTTCGGAAAGACCGCCGGCAGTGTTACTCCTAGCACTGTTATTTTCTAAAATGTCTACCGTACTCATGATAAAATCAGGCGCGATTAAGAGACTAAGGATGTTAATAACGGTACATACAAGACCTGCTTCACATGCGTTGCCAACCCTTAACAAGTAGAATATAATTTTAAAAACTAAAAAACCCGAATGCGTTTCTGGGCAATTTTTTATTTTGATATACCCATAGAGTGACAATCACTCTCACGGTAAATACGAAACTAGCGACACCTCTCAGGCTAAAATCCATCAAGCCGTTCAGGCTGCAGAGCGTGCCAAACAATTATACAAACACATACTCTCGAAAAACGTATCCTACCTTCTGGCGCTGTCGGGTAAAAAGTGGGCCCTGGCTACCATGTGCATATGGCATTGCTGCGTGGCCCTACCACCGTTAAGAGTTCAGATAATGCGTCGTATTAACAGATTAGCCATCTTCCATCATAACTACTTAACTCTATTCGAGTCCACTGCCGAACATAACCCTACCTAAGCGTTGTCCAAGCAAAGATTTAAGATTTCAATCATTAGGTATTATTCCCGATGAGCAGTTTGACTATATGGCCTTCCATACACCAAAACATGGAGCACGAATACTAATCGTCAATCCGACAAGACAGTCGCATGAAATTTCTTCTTCTTTTTCGTTAAGTCAGGCATAACAACATATTTTTTAAACTCCATGCTCTAGGACCAACCTTTGGATTTAATTTTTTTTTTTCTTGAATTGCTATCTTCCTACGTCAGTATTATGG